GCTGGGAAACGGGGCACCAAGGCAGGGCAAGGCTCCACCAGCAGCGGCCTAGCTTTAGGTGGCTCCAAGCAGCCCGCTCCAAGCAGCCCGCCCGCCCGCCGGGCGGAACCCTTCCTGCTCCTCGGCGGGAAGACGCTCCCGCCTGCAAACTTTGCCTGTGCAAAGTTTAAGCCTGGAAGCCCCGGAAACCCGAGCAACTTCCCAGCAACTTTCGGCTTCCTTTTAACTCGTGGGCTTTCACGCCTGGCCCCGAGCCGCACGGCGGAGGGGAAGCCCGGCGGGCGGGCGGGCTGCTTGGAGGAGGCGACCCGGTGGTGCTCCGGCAGCAGCAACACCGGTGGTGCTCCGGCAGCAGCAACAGGCAGTTCCGCCCGGGCTCCGCTCAGGTGTCCGGCTGGGGCTGTTAGGAGTTTCCCAAAAAATCTTGTGCTGACCCAGCCCGTCTGTCAAATTTTAAAAGTCAATGCGGCCCCCGAGCCAAAAAGTTTGCCCACCCCTGGTCTAGTTAGTAGTGTGATATTACCAGAGAAGAAGCTACGTAGGATTAGATTAACAACTCTTAATGCCTTTTTGGCTATGTAGTTACATTGGGCTCTAGCACTTAGATCATTTGAGATGAGTACTCCAAGATCCTTGACAGAGTTTGGATCCTCAACAAGGTCTTGACTATTTAGCTTGTATTTTATTTTCTGATTTTTTCTGCCAATATGTAGGACAGAGCATTTATTTGTTGAGATTTGAAGTTGCCATTTATTTGACCATTCTGATACATAGTCAAGGTCTTTTTGAAGGGTAGCAGTATTGTCTGTGGTATTGAACAACTTTACATCATCAGCAAAGAGAATGCAATTGCTCTTAATATGATCACAGAGGTCATTTTTGTAGAGTATGAAGAGAGTTGGTCCTAGAACACTGCCTTGGGGGACACCACTGTTGATAGGTACAGAATTTGATAGGATGCTCCCAATTTTGACCATTTGTTGTCTGTTTGACAGGAATGCTTCTATCCAGTTATGCAGGTGTCCAGAGATACCAAAAGATTTTAGTTTTAGGAGTAGTTTGTCGTGTACCACTGAATCAAAGGCTTTACAGAAGTCTATGTAGATTGCGTCTATTGTTTTGCCCTGATCGAGTTGTGTAGTCCATATGTTTTTGCAGTGTAAGAGTTGCAGATTACAGGATAGTTTTTTTCTGAAACCAAATTGTTTATTAGAGAGTAGGTTGTTTGTCCCTAAGTGCAGGATGATGGATTGGTTAATAATTGATTCCATGACTTTACAGGTGACGCAGCATAAAGAGATTGGTCTGTAATTTTTAACTAGGCTGGGGTCTCCCTTTTTGAAGATGGGGATGACTGTGGCTTGTGACCATAGTTTTGGCAAGGAGCTGGTCCTGAAAGATTTTTCAAAGATTATGCTTAGAGGTTTTGCGATGGCAGTGGATAGCTTTTTTAAGAAGTAGGCACATATTCCGTCCAGTCCAATAGATAGAGATGGTTTTAGATTGCGTAGTGCTTTTTCAATATTGTCTTCTGTAAAATCGATATGTATTAGATCATTGTAGTTGTCTGTGGTTCGACTAGGAAGTACTGGACTTGATCCATTACTGTTTACAAATACTGAGCCAAAGAATGTGTTAAAGATGTTGGCTTTAATGGTGTCATCGTTGCAGTCTTTCAGGGGTGGGATGGACCTTGAGTCTTTTAGTTTGTTGTTTACAAAATTGTGGAAAGCGCAGGTGGAATTGGTGCGTAGAAGGTTTTCATCTTGTTTAATGTGATAATTAGTGCATTCAGTTTTTATCTGATGGCATAAATTTTTGTATCAGCTTTTGAAGTTGGCAACGTGATCTAATTTGTTTTTTTGCCAAAGTGATCTCTTTTTGGATTGAAGCTTCCTTATTGTTATGGATAATCTGTTTTTCCTGCTTTTGGGAGTTGTTATTAGTACATATAGTTTGATGACTCTTTTGACTTCAAGTAAAAATATGTTGTAATGGTCTTCAACAGTATTGCATCCAGTGAATAGAAATTGCCAATCAAGGGAAGAGAGATCGTTGATTATAAGATCATAGTTGCCTTTTTTGAAGTTATAATTGGGGATTTTGTCATTATGATGATTTTTGTGTGGATGTATGTTGAGACAAAAGTCAATCATGTTGTGGTCACTGTTGGAAAAGGGTTCTTTAATTTGTATTCCGTAAATTGAATTCGAACTATTGCAGAAGATGAGATCAAGGCAGTTGTTAAGCCTAGTATTGTTGGTTACTAGTTGTTCCAGTCCCAGATTTGTTACAGCATTGTAGAAGGTTGCATGTATGGGTTCAGTTGTACATTCGTTTAGGCTCCAGTTAATAATGAGGTAGATTGAAGTCACCAAGAAAGATAAAAGCGTGTGGGCAGGAGGTTGCCCATATTAGTAGAACCGAAACGTGATATTTAAAGTCAGTTCACAGATAATGGTCTCAGGAAGAGCAAGCTCTTGGGTAACTTGGATATTTTTTAGATATAAGGACTTTTTATAGAAGATAGCAACACCACCTCCTCTACGGATTTCACAATCGGATTGGTAAACATGATAGTCTCTTACTGTGGTAATGGAGTCAGGGAGAGATGCATTGAGCCATGTTTCACAGACAAATATGATGTCGAATTTAGCCATATTTAGTAAGAGGAGAAATTCAGGTATTTTATTTACAAGGCTTCTTGCATTGAGTAGCTTGCATTTAAGGCCAGTTGTAGTTTGAATTGAGGTAGTTGCGGGGCGTGCGTGCCTAGTCTTGGCGGATGGTGAATTGGTTGAAGAAGGTTTGTTCAGTTTCCATCCATGGTTCCTTGTCTGGCCTTTGAGTGCCTTGGAGAATAGCTTGACCCCTTCCTCCTCTCTGGGGCAGCCCCTCAGATATTGGAAGGCTGCTCTCCTGTCTCCCCTGGTCCTCCTCTTCCCTAGACTAGCCAGGCCCGGTTCCTGCAACCGTTCTTCGTGTGTTTCAGCCTCCAATCCAGTGGTGGTATTCTACTGGTTCAGCCCGGTTCAGACAAACCGGTAGTAAAAAAATTTTAATGTTCACCCGAACCAGTAGTAAAAAAATAGCTACTGGTTTGGCCGAACTGGTATTTCTTTTTCTTTTTTCCCTCCCGATGATCAGCGCTTCCCACGATCAGCTGTGCC